CCAGATGGGAGCGGCATGGCTGACTCACCCTTCCAGGAGGTTTGAAGGAGAAGGACAGGAGAGTCAGCGATCCCGTCCGAACCAGCCGAAGACAACACCGCAACTGAATTGCGCAGGTCAAGTAGGAACCATAAAAGCCCCACCTACTTACGTGACTACATAACGTAGGTTGGACCAAACCAAGTGGGGAGGGGTGTTGTATATAGTCATTTACATACTTGAAATACTATGTTCCAATTGGATCGCTATTGCCGCCTATTGATTGGCTACTTTAAGACTGTTGCGATAGGTCCGCCTGACGGCGGGAAGTTTAAGGAACTGTCATTGGCCACGAGCCGCAAGCAGCTGCTATAAAAGAGGCTGCTGCAGCTCCGATTTTGTTGAAGTTACTGGTTACAAATAAAGAGTTTGAATTCACACTGGTCTCGAGTCAGATCTTTCCCGCGACGGAACACTATCCTGTCTCCCCTGGACCTTCTCTTTTCTAGACTAGCCAAGCACAGTTCCTGCAACTGTTCATTGTAAGTTTTAGCCTCCAGTCCCCTAATCATCTTGGTTTCTCTTCTCTGTACTTTTTCTAGAGTCTCAACATCTTTTTTATAATGTGGTGACCAAAACTGGATGCAGTACTCTAGATGTGGTCTTACTAAGGCTTTATAGAGTGATATTAGTACCTCAACTGATCTTGATTTTATCCCTCTGTTAATGCAACTTAGGATTGCATTAGCTTTTTTGGCTGCTGCTGCACACTGCTGGCTCATTTAGCTGGTTGTCCACTAAGACTCCAAGATCCTTCACACAGTTATTGCTATTGGGCCTGGTTTCACCCAGAGTTTGAAATGATAGCAGCAAAAGAAAAGCAAGATCTGATCCAAAAGGTGTGAAAATAATATATTGAAAGTTTCCCCCAAACCCTTCTCCCAGGAACCCAGGCTGAATGTCCAATCCACATTCCGCATAGTGTCATGTGAACACATCTTCAGGTATTTTCGTCCACCTGGAGTTCTAGGACAGTTGGCCTTGACTGGGTGTAAACAACTCCATTCAGCAGTGCAATAATACATGAGAGCAAATCTCCCTTTTAGTTCACATGGACATTCATCACACCAGCTCACGTCCCAAACCCAAACATCATGCCCCCACTCCCGTTACTATGGCAGCCCATGCTGGAGATCCAGCTGACAATCTATGTGTCAGGGCTCCAACAATCCACCTCCATTCAAACCATGAGTCTCTAGCCGCATCTCTCAGAGTTTAAAAAAAATGATTTATTAGGAGTGAACATGTCAGCATTACCTGGGCGCAACCAATTCTTAGACACATCATTCATCTCTCACCCTTGAACCTGGGTCTTCCCCCAACACCTGGATGTATATTCTCCAATGGGACACATCCATAGCCAAGAATCGTCAATCATGCTCTCCAGTAATAATCTCGTGTGCCAGAAGCTTTGGCCGCCTAGCAATTATCTATGAAAATATTTAAGGTATGCATTACTCCCACACACACATTCCCTTTCTGCTGACAACTCTAAAAGACCAGAGAAATAGTTTTGAGTTGACACTATGTCTTTCAACATGGCCTCTTGTCTCCAGAGACTGCTGGGGAAGGTCACCCAGATCTATGGAGTTTGCAGCCACTCTAGATTGGTGGCACTTGGTTCTCAACTTTTCTATTACCTATTTCCTTATCTTCTTATGGCTATAACTTTGTTGCTTGTACCTTGTGATTTATGTTGATTGCCTTTATCCTAGTAGGATTTATGTTGATTGCTTTATTTTGTATCCTATGAGTATCACCGAGTGTTGTACTTTATGATTTATGATGATTGTATCTTATGATTATGAATGGTTATAAATGGTCCAGGTCATATACGTTTTATAGTCCAAAGAATATCCAATTACAAAGTCTTCTTACCGGTTGCCTTTGTCATTTCCAGTAAACAAAAATATCAATGTATCACTTGTTTCTTGTATGTACACTGAGAGTTTATGCACCGGAGACAAAATCCTTGTATGTCCAATCACACTTGAACAGTAAAGAAGTCTGTTCTAGAGCTGTCTCTCATCTAATGCCAAGGGAGCCATCAGTACCACTGAACTTGGCCTAATGTTACAAGTAGAGCCTGTTTGTTTATTTAAGACTGTTGCCTTAAAGTCCATTAAAACTCATATAAGAACTCTATAAGATTTCATAGTCAAAGCTTCACTTTCTTCTTACTTTTATTTGCTGTAGTGGAGAGTTTATGGAGTGTTTGCTTCCTCTTGTGAGGTGCCCAAGCTTTTTTGTTAATTCTTTTGCAATCTTGTACATCCAATAACAATATAATTGGATGAAAAGTTATGTCAGGTTTGGGTATCCCAAGCCAAAATACAGAAGACTGACATATTATGCCTCACCATCCAATTCTATCATTAACAGGGACCTCTACATACAACAACACAAAATAAACTTCCACAAATAGAGTACAAACCAACATCTCTGAGGGAGATGGGTGGTTAAGAGATGTTATGATATGTACAGAATAACCCTTGAGTAACAAGGATATGTACATAGAAACGTTTAGGAGAATAGTTATGAATAATTATTCAGCTACACACAGATACGCTAAATTGGGTTAAAGTTTACTTTAAGAAATAGTACTATAAACAGTCCAGGTCATATACCTTTTACAGTCCAAAGAATATCCAATTAGAAAGTCTTCTTACCGGTTGCCTTTGTCATTTCCAATAAACAAAAATATCAATGTATAAGCACAGCATAAATACAACAGAAAACCTTTGAGAGCAACAGAATGTCAGAGAGACAGAATGTCAGAGAGAGCAAGCTATGATCTCTAGCTCCCTCTTATGGTAATTTGCAATATAATCAACCAATCAGAATATAGTATAAATCAATACTATTGGTTGGTTTATATATTGCCAACCCAACTAATTGGTGGACAGATTCCTAACAAGAGATATGAAATATAAATAAATAAACCTCCCAATTGAACATGCTCTACATGGGCTACCGTTGAAAATTATCCAGAAGCTTCAGCTGGAGCAAAATGAGGTTGCATGAGCCATGCTAGGTGCCCAAAGAGGGGCACAAATAACACCTTTGCTCTGTGAAGTAGACTGGGTGTGGGTGCCAGTTTGTTTCCTGGTCCAATTCATCATGTTGGCTATCACCTATAAAGGCCCACCTGTCATAGGATTAGGATACCTATTGAACCAGCTTTGCCCCATCAGAGCAACCTTCCTACTTATTCAGACAGAAAATGTATGCCATTGGCCCCATCACTCAAAGTATTTGAACCACAACTTTCAATTGTCTTCTGCCCCTGTATTGTGGAACGTCTTGTCCTCAGTGGTGAGGAAGTTCCTCAATCTCTTGGCCTCCCATGAAGGGATTAATTATAAAAGGATTCCTTGTGTACAGGAAGCAGAGGTGTGCAAACCAATGTCTGCATTTCCTGCATCGGATGTAGAGAGCATATCTTTCTCCTTCTGTCCTAGCCACTTCTTACAGAGGCAAAATTGGGAGCATTTTAACAAACTACATCACTGTTTGGTTTGGTGGCAGGAGTACCTCAGATAGAAAGTTCCTACAGAGAGTGGTAAGGGCAGCCAAGATTACAGGAAGCTTGCTTCCTGTCATTCAGGATACTGCTTATAAGTGCTATGGGCTTAGAGTTCAAAGTGTCAACTCATAAAATATTTCTATGGTTGTTTTAGAGTTGCCAACAGAAAGGGAGCAGGGGATAGGGGTTTGAAAGAGGAGAGAGGCAGCTTGGAAATCAAAAGTGCATTCCATACATAGTTTTTCAGAGATAGTAACTAGGTGACTGAAGTTTCTGCTGTGCAAAAATCTAACTGGAGAACACGATTGATGACTCTTGGCTATGGATGTGTCTCACTGGAGAATATGAATTATAATATTATATAGCAGGACTGCCTGACTCTGTAACAGCTTTGTTTCTGATGCCATCCATCAGATAAACTCACAAGATCGTTTTTCTCACCAAGTACATGAATACATCCAAATTAGACTGTGTTGTTCCTCTGTGTCATCCTCTGTGTCACATTCCTAAACAAGGTTGTTATTTGGAAGTGGGAAGGTAGATGGCATCACTCTCACAACACTAAACCTGTTAGATGTGCCCCAGATGTTATCCCTGATAGCAAAACAAAGATGGATCCCACTTCTGAATCAAATGCAGGACACCGAAAACTAATAACCACGGCTTTCTTCAGCTATTATTTATTCAGTGTGCACAGGAGGGATTTCTCTCCCAAAAATAGTTGGAGAAAATCTTACAGACAAAATGATGCATTATACATTTCAGGAAAAGGAAGACAAATTTATGATTACACATATGTCCATTTAATTAATTAAGCATGAATAGTCATAATTAGCAAGTATCTGGTTATTTTCCTGCCCATCTATAGTTACTATCTTCAAGAAAGAAATATAACCTAAATTTATTTATTTATTTATTTATTTTGTCAAATGATTATAAGATAACAGATATAAGTATAAACATAGTTATGATTACATGAAATGGATTTGGACATTGACCACTCTGTTGTTGAAGTTGTATTTCCTGCAATCAAGTTTGGTGCGGTTTACCTTGAGTTTGTATCTATTGTGTGCTCTCATATTGTTATGGTTGAAGCGGAAGTATTCATTGACAGATAGGACATTGCAATATATAATTTTATGTACTATACTTAGAATGGACCGAAGGCGGCGTAGTAAAAGGAAAGATGTAAGTTGGGTTGCTATTTTGACAAAACATGAGAAAAGAGGGTTGCCCCATGCATTCCTATCATATTTCTAGCTTTTTAATTTAGCCTTCCAAGAATTTGTTTTTTTTCACAATCTTATCTTCCAGCTGAGTTATTTATTTGAAACAAAACCATTGGCATCCTCATGTAAGGAGAACAGCTTGGATCATTTCCTAAGTTTGACCTGTTGGAACATATTGAGATTCAAAACATTTCTGTGTCACATTTCTACCTTACTTTGGTTGTAAGGTGCACCTTTGTATTCAGGTCTGGCCTCAGAATGATAATGTAGCACTTGGGGAAGAAGATGCAGCCCAGCAGCCCAGCATTGGAGGCCAAGATGGAGAAGACCTGCACAGCCACCATGTATTTCCCTTTGGTACTCAGGTAGGTGGGCACAAAAGTCACCCAGACACTGCAGAAGACCAGCATGCTGAAGGTGATCAGCTTGGCTTCATTGAAGGTCCCAGGCAAATTCCTGGCCAGGAAAGCCACTGTGAAGCAGATGGCAGCCAGGAAGCCCAGGTAGCTGAGGGTGATGTAGAACATGACAACATAGCCTTCGTTGCATTGCAGGATGATCTCTCCATGTTGGGAGTAAAGGTCAGAGTCAGGGAATGGGGGAGAAATTCCCAGCCACATGGAGCAGATGATAGTTTCAACAGCAGAACCAGAAAGGATGATGGAGTTGGCCAAGCTCTTACCCAACCATCTCTTCATTTGGTTTCCTGGCTTTGTTGCCAGAAAAGCCAGCACTACAGTGATTGTTTTGGCCAAAAGAGAAGAAATAGCAACTGAGAAGACAATGCTGAACACTGTTTGTCGGAGAAGACAGGTGGCTTTCCTTGGCTGACCAATGAAGAGAAAAGAAGACAAGAAGCAAAGCAGGAGGGAAACCAGGAAGATGTAAGAGAGATCTCGGTTGTTGGCTTTCACAACAGGAGTTTCTCGATATTTAAGAAATATGGCCAAAATAAAACCTGTTGTTAGGAACAAGAGTAGGGCAAAGGAGACTAGGATAATACCCAGATGTTCTTTATAAGACAGGAAAGTTATAACTTTTGGGATACATTGAACTCGGTCCTCGTTTGGATATTTATCAGTTGGACACTTGGTACATTTTTCTGTATCTGAGAAAAACAAAAAGCAATATTTTTAAAAAATTGTGTACTTTTACCTTTGGAAAAAAAAAAAACCACATTCTTTGAACATCAGATGATACCAGGAGCATTTTCCATAATACATTTCTTAACATTTCCATAGGATTTCATTGACGTCCCATGTTATCTGCAGAATCTTCATATGAACCCCTTAAAGGTAAATAATGAATCAGTTAATCTTTCTAGGTACACTTTCTGGGTTCTGCCAGATGGCATTTCTTAATATATTGGACTCAGAGGGTGCCTCTCTTGTGGAATCTACCAAAGATAACTAGTCCTGCATGGAATATATACTGGGAGCAGTTGTGATACTGGTGTATTGAGGCGCACCTATTAATGTCCATGCCATCTCATCATGGAGCAGGATTACGCTTTTAGTGATCCTCAAGGCGAGGCACATGTAGACAGTGTTGCAATAATTCTTCCAGAAGGTAGATCTAAAACAATTCCTGAAGTTTCAAAGAACTCAGATGTTCCTAGAAAGGCAAATATGGAAGGAAACATCCAAACTGAAAAACATAAGAAATTTTTCTCCTCTCTGACAGAAGTAAAGTTTGGCTGGTCTGCCACACTCTCCTATCTTGAGCCAGCTCCTACTTTGAGGTTTGTTTGTTTGTTGTTTGCTATTCTTTTTCTTAGATAAGAAATTGTGCTATTTGAAAATAAACAAGAAAACAATTGAGCTTCAATGCTCAATTGACTTTTTATCATTGACTTTTATTAAAGTGCTCTGGCTACATCAAGTTTCACAAATCAATCCTTTTATGTGGTGTCACTCACCTTCCTGAGTGGAGATGGTTCCCTCTGGACAAGGAATGCAGTCGTAGCAGCAAACTGGCTTTCCTTCTTGAGCCCGTTTGACAAACCCAGGATGACATTTTTCCACACATTTGGACTGAGGCAGAGACTAAGCAGAAAAACAAGGAATGCCAAGCAAACAAACAAAAAGAGTCAGGACCAACCATCCATGGAAAGATAGGCAATCTACTGAAATCTGTGAACCTTCTTAAAAGGAGCAGAAGTCCTACTGCTCTTTTTCAGTTGGGTTAAAGAGAGACATGGATAACTCTGGGCAGGTTTAGGCTGCTTGAAGCCATCATAGACCATGGAACTGCCCTTTCAGGGTGACACTAGAACACTGGGCCATATCTAACAAAATAAAATTCAATGTAGAGAAAAGTAAAGTAAAACCAAAAGTACCCATAAAGACTGGGTGAAACCAGGCTCAATAGTAGTAACTGTGAGAGGGATCTTGGAGTCTTAGTGGACAACCAGCTAAATATGAGCCAGCAGTGTGGAGCAGCAGCAGCCAAAAAAGCTAATGCAATCCTAAGTTGCATTAACAGAGGTATACTATCGAGATCAAATGAGGTACTAATATCACTCTATAAAGCCTTAGTAAGACCACATCCAGTTTTGGTCACCACATTATAAAAAAAGATGTTGAGACTCTAGAAAAAGTGCAGAGAAAAGCAACCAGGATGATTAGGGGACTGCAGACTAAAACATATGAAGAATGGTTACAGGAATTGGGCCTGGCTGAACAGTGAAGAGAAAGACCAAGGGAGACATGATAATAGTCTTCCAATATTTGAGGGGCTGCCACAGAGAGGAAGGGGTCAAGCTATTGTCTAAAGCACCTGTAGACAAGGAATAATGGATGGAAACTGAACAAGGAGAGATTTAACCTGGAAATAAGGAGAAACTTTCTGACAGGGAGAACAATCAACCCATGCAACAGCTTTGCCTTCAGAAGTTGTGGGAGCATCATCACTTGAGACTTTAAACAAGAGATTGGACTGCCATTTGTCAGAAATGGTGTAGGATGTCCTGCTTGGGTGGGGGTTGGACTAGATGACCTATAAGGTACCTCCCAACTCTGATTATCTTACTTTCCCTAATCAGGACAAGATGAAGCTTATTTCTCACTAGGACCAACAGATCTCTAACCAGTCATGATTATATTTGATCTGAATTAACCCAAGCTTTAACTCAAGCATTAGTTAGGTACCAGTTAGGCATACGATAGCCAGCACTGGTGGTTTCTCAACAGTTTGACGGAGATATTAAATTATAGAAGACATCCAAAAGAGCAACAACAAAGATCTAAAGAACAGTCACAGAATATCCAATGATGGAGAAGACTGAATCAGTTTAAAAGAGTGTTCCTGTAGAAGATGACCAGGCTTAGCCCAAGAGAGGCGTCAAGGATGTCATTAGTCTCAAGTCCCTTCATGTTCACAAAAGATCTAAGTTCAGCCAACTTTGACTTCAACAGTCAATTTGTTTGACCATTATTAGTTCAGATTATTGTAGACTGTTAGCATACAATAAATCTCTATTCATTTGAACTACCTTGACTTCCAGGTTTTTTTGAGTTTGACGTTTGTATATTATAGCACCTGAAGGAGACTTTGTGAATAGTAGTGAACACTCAACCCCACCCCAGCACTGTAAGAAAACTATATATTTTCTATTCTGCATGCTCAATTCTTAGTGAAGGTCATCCACCTTGGTGGCCTACTAGCCTTAGCCTTCCTGAAAGGGTCCTAATCTTTAGAAAAGGAGAAAACACAGCAATATTTAACCTACCTTATTGAGCAAATTTAATTGTGACAGAGCATCTTGGTTAATAATAAGTCTTTGTCTTTCAAAATTCCCCAGATGTTCCAGGAAGCAATCCTTCTCGAGAAAAATCAGGAAGCCCACAATTGCCAGATCTGCTGCTACATCTCCATTTTGGTCCAAGTACAGTTTCTGCCATGAAATATTGCAAAACTCGTTCTTTTCCAGGAATGGATGAAACTACAATGGAAACATGCAGGAATTTTACAAGTAGAAACCTTGATTTCTTGCCCCACATGGTCTGTTTACATATGAATCTTTCTTTCAGAGTCTATCTTGTAAATATTCTATCTTGCAAATATGTTTAATTCTGTGAAAAAGTATTACCGCTGCCTTCATAAGGAAATACAACGGTTTCAGCAAAATTTGCCAATCAGATATTGCCAATGTATATCTTGAAAAGCTATAATTGACATATTTGATCAATTATAGAGAACATTGCTTCTGCCTCTCTTATCTAATCATCCCTAGGCAGCATCACTTGGCTTGGTCCCAAAAGCCATTCTCATATATCATTAAAAGGTAAAGGTTTCCCTCGCACATACACACTAGTCGTTTCTGGCTCTAGGGGGTGGTGCTCATCTCCGTTACAAAGCCGAAGAGCCAGCACTGTCCAAAAATGTCTCCGTGGTCATGTGGACGGCATGACTAAATGCTGAAGGTGCATGGAACACTGTTAGCTTCCCACCAAAGTGGTCCCTATTTTTCTACTTGCATTTTTTACATGCTTTCGAACTGCTAGGTTGGCAGAAGCTGGGACAAGTAACGGGAGCTCACTCCATTATGTGGTGCTAGGGATTCAAACCGCCAAACTGCTGACCTTTCTGGTCAACAAGCTCAGCATCTTAGTCACTGAGCCACATATCATTACACTTCCTAAATAGATTATGGGAATGCTGGTGATATAACTTGATTTCAGAAAAGTGTTGACAAACCATTTTGTATAATGAAGATTAGGAAACTAATTAAGTAAGGATTGGGTGGTATGATAACTAAGGGGATAAAACTGACTTTAAAAGTGCACTCAAATAATGTATAATCTTTTAAAATGTTTCTCATAAAAGTATGTAATTATGAATGCCAATATGTGCTTGGACATCCATTTTTCGATATTCTTTTTAATACAGTGGATTTTTCTTTGAAAAATTATCCTCCAAGCAATTACATTGGCCAGATCTGTGGGACTTTGGTAGCATGGCTAGATTGAGATGGTTCCCATCCTTCTCCTTTAGGTTCCTTCTCAAAAGGAACTAAAAATAATGGATCCATGTCAGAACCCCACACCTGCCATGGCTGCAGCCTTATAGACCCCAGTCTCTCTTTGGCCTCTTCCCTTCTCTTCCTGGATCTGGATAAATATGCAGCATTCAAGGCATGGACCAGAGTCTTAACGAAACTATAATAATGTTCTGAATTTGTGATCTGGGTGCTGTTCTTTTTCTCTTGGCTCTCCAGTGTCACTTTCTGGGTGCATTTCTTCCGTCCTTTGACAGAAGAGATGTGCTTTGAAAAAGAACAGTGAAAAGACTGATCTTCAAACTCGGAATCTAGATAGAAATAGGGTTCAAAGGCATCATCATCTGGTCTTTCTTTTTTCAAGTAAACGAAATTCCAAAGGCTATGGATGTATTTGAGAAGTTTGTGCTTTTCTTTAATATGAATTCCCAAACTTGTGGTGATCCAGATTTTGCCTTCTATGGGTCCTGGCAAATTCATAAGTGTCAAATGGAAAGGAAGAATTCGGACCAAAAGGAAATCATATTCTATAAAATGAACAAAGATGTTGACTTGTTTCCACTTAGAAAGGGCATCCTTGAAGATTGTTGTATATCCAGTCATTGGGAAGCATTGTGATATAACAACGCAAATTCCATTCTTGACAAGCAAAGGAGTAAAAGTCCTCATGAAATTCTCTCCATTTTCTGTGTCTGAAGCAAAGAGGCCAATCAAGGTCCATCCAAAATGGAGGATCACTTGCACAATTCCTGGATACTGGATCCCTTCTTTGGGGAACATCTGGTGAAAAAAGGGGAATTGGCTTTTATCACTCAGAGCCACTGAAACAATTTTATCACTGATCTGAAAAATAATGAAGAATCTGTGTTATATTTGGGATCAGATCAAGTCCAAAGTATTAACTTTTAATAAATCTCACTTTGTTTTTTTAATGAATGCATTTGGATAGTTTGTTGATTAGTCATTCTTTAAATATTAAATGCAGACTATTAACAAGTTTGTATATAAAAATGGACTACAAGAAATAAAATAATCAAAGAAGAACAACAAATGTATGTCTGTATCAATACTGCAGCTTACCACAATTAGACTCACATGTACAAATGTCAACTGAAAGGAAACACATGAAGAATGGTACAGGAACTGGGCATGGCTAGTCAAGTGAAGAGAAGGACCAGGGGAGACAGGATAGTAGTCTTTCAATATCTGAGAGGCTGCCACAGAGAGGAAGGGGTCAAGCTATTTTCTAAAGCACCTGTAGGCCAGACAAGGAATTGTGGGAGCGCCATCACTTGAGACTTTCAAGAAGAGATTGGTCTACCATTTGTCAGAAATGGTGTAGGGTCTCCCTCTTGGGTGGGGGGGGGTTGGACAAGATGACCTGCAAGGTCCCTTCCAATTCTGATTACCTATAAACTAATCTGTAAATTTGTTCCCATAAAGGGTCATATTATATGTACTTTTTGAGGTTTTTCTTTGCTTCGATATCCCAGGTAATTTGTGCAGCAAGCTTTTTGCCTGCTTCTACAGTTATAAAAGAAACAAGGAGACCACAGCTCCTAATATAATTTGTCAGTGGTACAATCCAAGAGATTGTTAATTGAAAATGTTCTCTGTTCTAATGGACACAATTTGGCGAGTCTATCAGTTTCTACATCTTTAATTTACACCAATAATTATTTTCCCTGATTATAAACAAAGAACAAATTGTGTAAAATCCCAATTCAGTTCTCAAGGCAGCAGCTGGGCCTAAAACAGAACACTCAGTACCCCACTGCATATTTCCCTCCATGTAGGGTTAGTTTCACGGAGGAAGACATGCTGAGTGCAGTTGGTCAGCAAAACCTGGGTCTAAAGCCTGCTTATTTTTCAGCAAGAATTTCTTCCTTCATCTAACCACTCTCAACTTTACTCAAGATGACCTTAGCATTTATTTTAGCCACTATTTAGCCACTATTTAGCCACTGTTAGACAAATGGGCAAACAATTGCTTTTTTATTCCCTGTTTTTAAATGTAAAGAAGTCTATTGCCACCCAACTGGATATAGTGGGTATTATTTGTATGTGAAAAACAATCTGCCAATAAGAGGGCCATACAAGTTGGGTTATTTTTTTTTTTTAATAGTTCAGCTCTCCAGGACTCTGTTGCTTTTCTAGCCAATTATGAAGAATTTGATTATTAATACATTTGGTTAAAATACTTGATATGTTGACTAATTATGCTTGCATTTTAATTTTTTTAAAAAAACTTTATTAATCTTTTATAACTTTAAAAAGACAAACAACAAAAATATAAATCTTGTAACATCAACAGTTTGTGACATTCATCTTATACTAATATTTTGTGCATTATTTACAAATATATAAAATTTGTGCGGATATAAATCTTTAGCTTATCTACTGCTCATCCTTATTTTTTTTAGAATCCATTTATCTATCCAACTATCTATCTCTGCTTGCTTGCATTTTTTAATAAAGCAGTTAATTAATTCTAATGATCACTATGAGTCTACAATACGCATATGTGTCATCAATGGGAGTGAAGATAAACCATTGTGACTCTTTCAATGAACCTGGGATTTGTTCAATATATAAAATGTGAGTTTTCCTTTATTGCAGCATCTTCTATTGTACACAATACCCTTTGATTAAACACAGAGCAATCTTCACTTTCATAAGTATGCAGCAGAAGCCCAGAAAGCAATTAAGATGGTGTAGTGAGAGGAAATCCTGCTTTGATCCTTGCTCCAACCCTAATGTGTACGACAATCCCCAGCTAGGACTACAATGACCATAGTTAATTCCATAGATTCCCACTACCATCCACTCAGTTACTTTACCAGATAGTGAAACACACACACAAACCTGTGGGACTTTGTAGGTGCCTACTAATGTTGAAATCTGGATGGAGATGTCCTTGGAAGCTCCATCCAGAAGAGCCAAAAGGTTGTCCTGCCTTCCACAGCTGTAGTTGGGAACGTTGGCTTCTCCAATAGAGAGCATGTCCAGCAAGGCATCTGAAGTGCCAAGTGTGTCCAAATAGTTGTCATGGATGTTGTAGCCAAGTGTGAGGTTGTTCAGGAGATGGTGATTTTTGTTGACCACTTGAATATTAAAAATAAAGCGTTGGATTTCTATCTTAGTTAAAGGTAAACTAGTGTAAAAAAAGGCTCATGTTAATATCAGCATCAACAGAATAACAAAATACTTTTTTTCCTATTTAATCATCTTTTTCTCCATAGGCTTACTGAGTTTTAAGGCAATACCAACCCAAAATCAGAGGCAAATGGTAGTCACCCATCACCATTTAATATTTCTGAGAGTTGGGAAGATCAGGTGGAAATAATCCTTCACCAGAGTTTAAAACCACAAATGCACAACTATATGTTTCATCTGCCAAGCAGCTAGGTTGCAAAATAATTCAAATATTAGAGTAGAACTATCATAAAAGGAAGAGGATCGTTCATAAGCCATTCTATGAACAGCCTATTCCTATAAGGATCACTCATTGAATATCAATGAGCAGTTATAAAAATATGGAAATGAATCGGATAGAGAAAATTAGAACCATTTCAATCACTACTTTAAACAAGTCATGAACTCAGGATTGTACGATGAGAGGAAAACAATGTGGAAATCTCCCAGGATATTTTTTTTTCTGCCCCATCTTTGGATTTGAGTCTCTTCCACAAAATAAGACAAAAAAGGGACACCATGGAAAGCAAAACAATTCAGGAAATTAGTCAGATCCTGCAACATAGGAGTTAAGTGCAATAGGAAGAAAAGAAGGGGAGTGATAGAACTGCAAATGAAGCAAATGCATTTCCCTCACACTGAACGACTTACAAGCGAGTCTGATTAGGAGCCATGTTGAATTGCAGCATTGTTCTTAATAATCTTGAGGCACTGGTGACTATATTAATGAGATAGTGTCCTGGTTTGTAATAGCTCCATGGTTTTTCTCCAGCCCAGTGCCTAAAATTCAATGGACACTTCATTGTAAGCTTCCCAGAGACTGGCCAGGAAGCTAGCAGCATCAGAAGCAGAAGCAGCAGGTCCATAATTCATAGAAACGAATCAAACCCCTTCTCATTTTTAAACAAGAAGTGTTAGAAACATTCTCTCGCAAGATAGAAGTGCCAGATTCAGTTGGGGACAAACGAAGTTTCACCTGGAAAGGGGAGAAAGGTGACATTCAAGAGCACAGCTGTATCTAAACATGTGCCAGAAAGAGTATGACTTGAGGCATTTATTCTTTTCTGATGCAAGATCCCTTCCATGTTGCTTCAGTCTGATGTTTACATCTAAGACAGTCACTGGAGAAGTAGCACGAAAGGTCTCAAAGACTTGGGTGATGTCAGTTACACTGAGGAGTGATCTCTCTGGGGACCTTTATTTTTTATTTTATTTATCTATTTCTTTGATTTGTCAATCGCTTACAAGTTAACAGGTATAAGTATAAACATAGTTATGAATACATGAAATGGATACAGATAAGAAAAATAAAAAGAAACAATAGGAGAGGGATGGTAGGCACGTTGGTGGGCTTATGCACGCCCCCTACAGACTTCTTAGGAGAGGGGTGAGGTCAATAGGAGACAGTCTTAAGGTTAAAGTCTTTGGGTTTTGGGGAAGAAACCGCAGAGTCAGGTAGAGTATTCCAGACATTGACCACTCTGTTGCTGAAGTTGTATTTCCCGCAATCAAGTTTGGTGTGGTTAAAATTGAGTTTGTATATATTGTTTGCTCTTTTGTTGTTATGGTTGAAGAGCTGAAGTATTCATTGACAGGTAGGACATTGCAATATATAATTTTATGTACTATTCTTAGATTGGACCGAAGGCTGCATAGTTCTCGGTTTTCTAGGTCTAGAATTTCAAGTCTGGTAGCATACCAGGCATTTTCAAAGCCTCCAAATTTTTATGATCCGTCCACACCTCAGATGAGTGTTTTGCCCCTTCTAAGAAATGCCTCCAGGTTAACAGAGCCCAATGAACTGCAAAAGCTTCTTTTTCCCAGATGGCTCATCTTCTTTAGGTTTCAGTTAATTAACAGGAAGTATATGCACACGGTTGCAGAGTCCCTGTCTTGTTTGCTTGTAGTAACACCGCCCCAACTGCTATGTCACCCACATCGGCTTGGATTACAAAAGGAGTATCCATGTCCGGGTGTTTGAGTAGGGTTCAGCAGCAAACAGTCATTTCAGCTTCTCAAAAGCGGCTTGACATTCCATGGACCACTCCAGGGGTTTACTAGGCTTCGGTTTCACCTCCCCTTTGGGTTTTTAGGAGATTTGTGATAGGCATTGCAATCTTCGCAAAAGCAGGGAGAAATTGACGGTAAAAATTAGCGAATCCCAAGAAACTTTGAAGTTGTTTCCTGGTGCGGGGAGGGGCCCATTCCAAAATGGCATGAACCTTCCCCGGATCCATTTCTATGCCATCATGTGAGATGCGATAACCTAAATAGTCAATTTTTTCCTGGTGGAATTCACACTTGGACAACTTTGCATACAGCTCAGCAGCTCGAAGTTTTTCCAGAACTGACCGCACTAGTTTCACATGTTAATCACGAGTCTCCATGTAGATAAGAATATCATCAAGATAAACCAACACCCCTTTGTATAGATGTTCATGCAACACCTGATTGATCATTTGCATGAATACTGCAGGGGACCCCTGTAGGCCAAATGGAAGAACGTTTAATTGGAAACAACCCATTGGGCAGTTAAAAGCAGTTTTCCATTTTCTCAGATTCAGAATAATGTTAGCTGGTGCTCCATTCAAAATCCAAGAAATAAATACTTAGACTCTTTTAATCAGAGAAAAGATATCTTTTACTGGAAATCAAGTGGTAGCAACAAAAGAATTCTGAATCTGAGAAAATGGGCGCGTAAATCACATATACAAAGTAATGGCAACGTTCCCACCCCCAATAGTTCATTGGCTCATCCAATTAAAAGTTCTGTCCATTGACCTTGACATAGTTTGATAAAGGGTTGCAGCTGTGCATAGCATAGAATAGAAACCTAAGCAAGAATGTACACGCCCCCACAGCTTATACAGTTCTGGTTTGTAACACCTCCAGCTCACTTCCAATAACCATTCCCCGCTCCTCCCCCTGTTACTTATGACAGCTGAAAGATGCAAAGCAAAGAGAGAAAAATCTGGAAGGAAAAATCTTGAAGGCTGAAACTCTGCATGCCTGAGAGACTTTAGACGCTGCTTTTAACCCCTACATGAATTGTCTCATCTCAATAAAGGATTCCTTTTTGATATGTTTGGATACGTTTTCAGAAGTTCATTCTAGTTGATTGAATAGGAAAAGTTCTATAGCCTGACAGGATGCTCTATATGTTAAAAAAAAAATCAGTGGAGGAATGCCAATATTATTTTAACAAATTTTATTCAGTTTTTCACATAAAAACAGAAATCTCTTTTTAGTGGACAACATATTTCCAGGTCATCACCTTTACATACAAATATGACAGCAATTATACATTCATATATGCATACTTAATTCTATTATTACCTTTTCCATTCCAAATTTTCAGTAAGGAGAGAAACAAACACATTAATTCTAGCCTCTTTCATTAATCTCAATCAAAACATCTTTTTGTTTCATTTCAATTATTTCAAATATAATCCTTTAAAATTTATTTTAAAAATAAAGCATAAACAATATGTGTTTGCCTTATTAGTATTATTATTGATTGCCAATGTCTCTCCTTGCTTTTAATAGTCTATATTGACTTATTAATTTAGTTGGTTCTTTAGCCTGTCATATTCCCTTTCCATTACACATTCTTTTTATAAATTCTAAATTAATACAAGTTTTAACACCTTTTTAATTCATCAACCATTATCTCTGAAAAAAATTTTCTTTTCAACATTTTACTATTTGTGTATTTCTTTATTTCATACGCCTGTTTCTTACTGCTTCTCCTTCCCCTCTTTTCCCCATATCTTTTCTCATTCCAGTTTATATCCCTCTCTTTCTTAATATCTTCCTTTCCCCTTTTCTGCTGGGTCTTTCTGTCTTTCCCAACTTCACAGGTATTCCCCCTTTTGATTACCTTCTTAAGTCTCAACTTTTTAACCTTCCTTCTTTACCCACTTCTTTGTAGTGTTCTTTGTGTTAATTGTCTGTTTAAAATGTCTTCTTCTTGAGTCAACTCCTCCTCCTCTGAAGCTCTTTCTTCTTGTTCTTCAATCGCCATTTCCATTTTTTCTAACACAGAGCAAAGTGATTCGCCTCTTTCCTGTAGTAATTCTCTCATATTTTTAAGTTCCATTTTTAATTCCTGAAGAGATATCATCATTACACACTCTTGTATTTTATGATCGTTAAAGTCCACAAAAAAGCACATTTACTTTCCTTCTTTCTTCTTTCAATTTTCTAAGGTTCTTAATTATTCCAGCCCAGGGTCTATACCAAAAACATCAATCAATCCCACAGTCATTCTTTCCTTGCTTTTTTCTTTATTCTGGTTCTGCTTTCACTTTCTAAGATTCTTACTTTGTTTCAACATTTCTTTAATATTATATCCACACAGGTTCATTCAGAAATAGGATGCTTTCCCTTGTTTAAGCTCAAGTTTTTGTCAAAAGGTGGCACTCTCCATTATGTAAAGTCTTCACCTTTTCCCCCTATTTTTTTATTTAGGGTTTTTCGAACCTCAATATTCCAATGCAGTCCAGTCTCCAATTTGTAAACTTTATTATTATTATTATTTGACAATCTTAAGTCCAGCTTTATTTTATGCCTGTTTATTGCCAAAATATTTTAGTCCAATTTAGTTAAATCTTTAGTTCTGGCTTCTTCCTTTCCTAGTTCGAAGCCCCACTTAGCTGTCAGAAATATTTTCTTATTTTTTTTCCTGTCCCTTTGTAATTTTGCTGCTCACTTTTCTTTTCTTAAAAATTCCATGTTACCTTAATCCCAGGGAAACTTTTGTCTAGTTGTATCACCCAATTGTCCCGGTTCAGATGTTATCCACCTCGTTCTTCCCTCCTGCACAAATCTTAATCCAGCTGAGTCCTCCTCTTCGGGGTGGCCATTTTAAACCACCGCTGCAGTCGTCTTCAGGGGGAAAAAGACCAAGCCCAGGAGGGGAGATGCAGCTCCCCTCAACCTGCTTAGCTGCTTCCCCTTACTCCACCGCCCTCCAAGGCAACTTCAGCCCTTAATCATAATGATCGGGGCTCTCCAATGAAAGAGCATGGACCATAGCCACAGAGAGATGCGATCTACGGTCTGTCAGCAAGGAGGCTCCGCCTTCTTCCGAATGCCAATATTTTTATTAACTAATGGGATGAAGGGCAATACTTTGTAGTGAGGCTGCTTGAGTCAAGATGGATTAAAATAAGGGTGTTTTAATGTCCATCTGAAAATAGATTGAAATGAGTCTTGAAGGAGTGATTTATTACAAACAAAAAATCTCTAGAAGAAAAGGGGCAGGAGAGTAGGAAGGCCAGAGTCTGAAATTATGCAGACACTTAGCGCTTAAATTGTAAACCAGGAATTCTTTATATTTTGAGTTTTAAGGCTCAGAGTAGGATATAACTTTGTATGATTCCTTGTATTTGCCATTCATTGGACTAGTTTCAAAAGTAGCAGCTAGAAAGCTCCCTGGAGAGAAAAGAAGGAAGAAGAAATCCCCAGCACTTCCATAATTATAGGGGAGAAGTAAAATGAATGCCACAGTTCCTTTGCAATGCTGATTTGATTTGATTGCTGATTGTACCCTATGACTATCATTAAGTGTTGTACGTTATAATTCTTGATTCTTAACTAATGTATCTTTTCTTTTATGTATACTGAGAGCATTTACACCAAGACAAATTCCCTGTGTGTCCAATCACACTTG